TAAAAAAAAAAAAAAAAGGAAAAAAAACAAACCACAAAAGGGAAGCTCGAAATAAGGCCAAAAAATATTTGCAAACGATAAATTTTAAGTCTGTCAAAAGGACCAGGCCATAAATATTTTATTTACAATTTCTATTTAGAATCTTTATTTTCAACAAATGATTTAGCACCAGCAGGAAAAAAAAAACAGGAATATGCAAAGTAGCATTACTGTGTTCCCCAGGCAGAAGACCTCGAGCCCAAATCTTGCTCGTTAGTTTCAAACGATCCCCATTTCAGGAAATCGCCTACTCAGGTAACTAAAGTGAGCAGGATTTGGCACTCGGATATGCAAACCTAGACTGCTCAAACATATTCCATTAGCACATTAATAATTACAAATATATTACAGCATCTTTTGAGATGTTTTCAGAAAGTGTGTTTTTAAGAATACTTAATATGCTTTACACGTGTGAAGTAAACAAAACTAATAAAACAGGCTTCTCTGCAGACTTCTTTTAAACTAAAAAGAATTAGTAATTTTATCACAGATGACAGAATACTGGTGACGGACTTTGGAATATATCAGTAAAACTTAAAGAATATAAGCAGGGAATTATCCCTCTATACTGCGATAAAGCATTTTTTATCTCCCATGTTCATGTCTGAGGACTTAATTTACCCATTTTATCCACAACGATTGTTCAGTCTGCCCTCTCTCACTGTGCGTTAACGGGAAATGGAAAAATTAATACAACCAAACCAGTAACTGTATGTGTCAAGCACACTTCTAGCTCTGCGCTGTGACCTACAGGTCTTGGTCAAATACTTCTGATCTGACCCACAGAGTTTTGTTCACTTTTTAACCTAAGCAAAGCTCTATTACATAGTATGTGTTTTTTTTAAACCTACATAATCCAAAAAAAGGATTTAGAAAGCCCTGCCGCTAGGAAAACACTCATCTCGCTAGGTGTGCAAATGGACTCGGGATAAAAAGCTGACCACAACTAGCTCAACAGAACCGCACCGACCTTCGTCTCTGTTCTGAGCTCAACCACACTGTTCCCTCAGGATTATAGCCATCTAGTACCCAGAACGTGAATAGTGAAAGTTATATTTAAAAACAGCTTCAATGTAAATTTAGGCATTAACCTAAGTTAATGACTGAATGCATAAGACACCATCTAGTCTAAGACGCACAGATTTGCTCTAGATAAAAGACACTTTAATTAGTTCCAAATATTAAAATCTCACTGTTGTTCTGAAACATTTAGAAATGAGAAGTTATTGCTACTTATCTGGAAGTAGGTATTTCCTGAAGACCTATACTGGATAGAGACAAAGAGTTAGTATTACAGCCCTTAAAGGCAATATAATCACCTTGCATGTATACTACCAACAACTCAAATGCAAGAGCAAGCAGGAATGTCTCAGTACTACTGAAGGAACATTTAATCTGTTATGAGAAGCCAGAACTGAACTTTTGTTCTTAATATACAGGCTGAGAGTAAGTGGGACAGCGTGGTCTCGTATTCTCTCCACGCCATAACTCTCAGATTGTGAGTGGAGGTGTTGGCAGATCACACAGGTGCTTGCTTGCAAAATACTACAGAGAGAGAGAGGGAGGGAAAGATCTTCAAAAGGCAGGTCAGACATCTGAAGACCCTTTGAAAATCCAGACCAAACTATTAGACAAAGAAAGTGTATCAGTGCTGCTTCTCTCCCAACTGTTACATTTATTGAAGCTTTACTAAAAGAATGAAAAAGCGTTTATGCTTAAACCTCTGCTAGCTTCAGTAAAGAACGCTGAGTGTATGTTCATTCCAGCTTGCTAAATATTCAAAACGCATTGTAGAAGTTCCCTTCTCATTCAAATTGCAGTTACCCTAGTAGAACTAGAAAGGTGAAAGTGGTTAAGTTTAATAGCCATACCAACTTGGAATAGCTTCATCTAAAAATGAACTTCTTTGGCCAGAAATAATTGGTACTTATCTGACTAAAAACTTGCATGATTTTTTGGGAGATACTGGTACAATAAAACTGTGCGCAATACTTAAAAAGACTGAGCTGGAGGGATGAGACCAAGAAATGCAAAAGCTTTATCCCAAGGTAAGGGCCACAGGGACAGGAAGCCAGAAACCTGATGCTGTTTTCCTGGCATCTCTAGCTACACTAGGTTGAAGGGATCACCTCCATGGCCAGTAAAATGATCTGCCATTTCTCTGGTAAGCAACACTGGTTAGGAAACCTCCTGGATAAAGTCCCAGTACCAGCAAAATTGGCATTATATGAAAAAAATTAAAAAGGCACTCACATGGCTGAATGAGCTGAAAACAATTACACATTCAAAATGAGCTTTAGAAGAAGAAACATCACACAACCTTCCTCTAGAGAAGTGGTTCCACTTGAGAAGACAACAGCAGCCCTGAGAAAACCCCAAATTTTCTCTACTGTAGTACATCACATTGAATCAACTCACTCTAAAGGTGCTTCAACCAGTTAGCTTTGAGGAAAAGAAATGGCGGGGGTGAAAGTAAAAACAGAGATCAGGAAAAAGCAAGTTACATCAGTGATTTGTATAAAAGACACAAGCCTTTTCAACCTATTTAGAAGAAAATTTAGATGAAGAGACTTTAAGGCTTATCTTGCAACTGCTTGTGATGCCTAGCGTTTCTACTGGTGGTAAAGTAAATCTGTGGAGACTCTAGTAACAAGTTCTAAGTTGAGAGAATGAGATGAAACCCAAAGATGTGGCTTACGCACAGGACCCCTGGGCTTCACAGTCGGGCTTGAAAACTTCTCTGGTTGCTCTTGTAATGAAATAACAATTGTGCTGATAAAACTAGCAAAAGGAAGCCAATTGTTTTAGAAGCTCAAGGGAAGTAAAATAGAGGTAGGGCATACTTTTTGATTCTCACAGTAGTTTCTGTACAGTACAGCTATTCAAGAATTACTCCATTAATTTATTCTGTAACTCTGTACAATTTACTTTAAAAATCTATCTTAGGTCATATCAACTCCAAATGGTTTAAATTAACCATGGTCTTTACGGAATCATCTTCTACACGTGCTTCTGGTTAAATATACAAGGAGCTTCTAACTACTGCTTCAAGAGCAGCTCTCTCTTTCAGTATCACAAAACGAGAAGTAGCAATAAATATGGTCTAAAGGAACTGTTTCTAATCCAGCTGTAGTACGTGTCTTAAAGTACTTCACTTTGCAAGAAAAATACCCAGTTGGTTTGCAAAATTTTCAGGAGGCTGTCAAAACATGCAGAAAATGAAGTTTTTACAAAGTCTTATGACCAAATAAAGGTTAATTTCTATAGTCAATTGTAACTGAAAAGGAACAATATACAGCATTTATAAAGACATTCTATAAAAACCATATCCACTTATTTTCTGAAGTGCTCTGGTTTAGCATCAGTTGAACTGTGAGTGTAATTTTTGTTTCCTTTTTTTATGTCTAAAATGAAACATCAAAGCAAGCACAATGGACACGTAGTATGAGTACCAGGAAAAGCAACAATAAATGCAACTGCATTTGCGATTGGCATTGGGCTTAATGGATTGGTTACTCTTAAGTTACTGTGCTCTTAAAGGACCACAGAAATTTAAAAAAAAAAAAAATTATGTTAGTATGGGGCTTTGAATTTTAAGAAAAGAGAGAAGACTGAAAATAGCACACAGAGGTTTCTAACACCATCTAAGGTGGATGTGTCTGTGAATACAACACAGCCATGCTGTGGAATACTTGAGCAATCAGTTTTAAAAATAACTTAAAACCCAAGGTATGCACGTGTTCTAGTCTGGTTGCTCTTCATGCACTTATAGGAAGTATTAAACATTAAAATGACATCATAAAATTGGGTGGCTCTTTAGTCCACAGAGAGTCATATAGCTAATGACTGTGTGATATTCTTACAAGTTTAAGATCTCATGCCCTGGTTTCAGGACTAAACTTATTACAATAATCACAACTGTACATTTTAAAAGTATACAGAAAAACCCAAAGATCAGTTCCAGAGTACGGATTTTATCCCAAGGCCACGATTTGATGAATGGTTCCATATTGCAAGTGCATTAAATATTGGTCCGTTTGGTGCTGCAATACAAACTCTGATGCTGTCCTCAACTTTCAAAAACAAACTTCCAAATCCAAAAGCAAGCTAACAACCTTTCATCTTCAACATCTAATTAGATTCTGATCAGCTCTTACAAAATTAAGGAGAAATCACATTTTCAAATTAGTAGGATGGGGCAGAAATTTTCCAAACCTCTGCAGAAATGAGCCAAAGCATCAGAATTATGAGGTCCCATATTTAGTTTATTTTATAAGGATTTCTTCAATTCTCTCAGGCTTTGTGGTACCTTTACCACAAATAATGATGCGTGATGCCAGAATTTATGAGAGAGAAAAAACAACAACAGAAGAGATTTTGGAAGTCATGTCCTCAAAAAAAAAAAAAAAGTCCAACCCCCAAAACCTGCCTTCACTAATCATTAAATTCTTTTCCAAATACAACTAGAAACAGAGGGGATCTTCCCAAAATACCAGCTGCATCTTCAAAAAAATGAAGAGGACAAGTGAATATCTTCACAAAACCTTCAAAACATCAACTGCTTAACCTGCTGCTTTGGCTGATTTTTTTGTGTTTCTATTCTTCCCACTGAAAATTAAAATAATATTATGAAAATAATACTATGTCCATTACACATAAAAATAAAATAATTACTATTGTTACTGTGGGAAGCAATTGCCTACAGTTCCCTCATCCCGTAGATAGTACCTTACCGTTTTTAAAGTTGTTTTCTGTAAGTACACATGGGAAATTGTGCTCATAATAGACTATAACTAATGAAAACAATTTTTCATTCATCAATTATATACAAAACTGATGGGCCTCAAGCCTCAGGAGTAAACTTGCAGTATTTTCATGCTGAGCACTTAAAAGTTTTGGCATTCCTTCTTCTGGAAGCTTGTTTTCAGAGGATGTATTGCATATTAAAAGTTCAATACTGGCTACATGTACCAAAGAACATAAACACCATCCCCAAACAGTTCACTTTTCAATGCCCGACAGAGCGAAACCCCCTTTCTTATAACGGCAATAGTCAGTAGCTAATCACGTCTTAAAAACAGTCACAGAAAATCTGCTATTTTCTTCTCCCCTCCCCAAACTTAGTTCCCATTGCCATAAACAAGTGTCATTCAGGTGGAAAATAGTTCAGTGTAGCGACATCTCTTATCTCAACTGAAATTTGGCAGCCCAAGAAGAGCACCAACAGCTCCAAAGTATCCCTGTTCAAAACAAACAAAAAAATATTTCAGGTTCAAGTATGGTATTAAAATCTGCACTAATCACATTTCAGTGACAAGAAAGCACCTGGTGGACCAATGCTACAGAAAGAACACCATACATTTTTAATATATCAGCTTTCATAATAATTTTTTAAAGCTTTGTGCAACAAACATTTTATCCTTCTTATCTAGCTAAACTTTAGGAGATTTCACCCCAAGCCTCCCCCTACACTGCAGGACTCCCAAGACGCAGTGACTCCTAAAGCACGGAAATCAGGTTTCGTTTGTTTTTCCTAGAGGAGCTGCATATTTTGGTTGCCAAAGGATCTTCAATGTCCATAGCAACACTATTCCTAAGGTACAAGTCAAAAATTTCTTAAACTAACTGCACCTGACAATTTTAAAGAACTACGTCCAAGCTTCAACACCATTTTTTTGGACTGTATACTTACCTGCATACAAAGAACCACGTTCTCCTGTTGGATTACTTTTCCCCTTTGGGGAAGTGAGATGTTCCCCCTCCCTATAACTACGAAATACAGAAGTGTTTGGAATCTACACTTGACCAAATGCAAGAAGCTGAAATTTATCCAAGAAGAATCTGAAGGGGGTAGAACTAACAGGGCACCATTCTGCTGTTACTGCAGACACTAGCACAAGACAGACTACTGTCGGTCTCAGGAGAAGCAACGAAGGAAAAAAGTTGTGAGAATCAGCTGAAGGGGAATAGATGTAATGCTGTAATATTTGCAGACCAGCAAATTGAGGACAAAAACTGCCAGCCCACTGCCAAGACACTACAAGTCTCCCAACTGTTGCACCTGTAATTAATACTGGTTGCCTGTATTTTAACCAAAACAGGTCAACACTCTCAGCTTTACATACTGATCTAGATTGCAGAAGCTGCCCAAAAGCAGGTTGGTCTCAGAGCATAAAATCACTACAACAACTTCAAGGTGTATCTGTGGTGGTATGAAAGCAGTCCCTGTTAAAAGCAGTCTCGACTTTCAGGATGTTGCTCAAGCTCAGCTGAGAACAATACAAGTATTTCGAAGGCCTGTGGCTCCAGATCTCTCTGGCATCTTTTGAAATACAATACTTACTATTGTTTCCACCCACAACCAAGGGAAGACTCTTGAACCTTAGTGCAGAGCTTAACTATTTCTTGTCCCTCTCTAAAGATCTATAGTGTGAACTGAGATACCCCAAAGTGACTGAAGTGCTTCCCTGGCAGAGCGCGCTGTCCCCAGAGAACTAACACGGAATGACAAACCTCCTGGTATTTTCAATGTTTACTGAGAACTTGGTGTCTCAAGACATCACACATGAGAGCTACTCAGTACATGCATTTTTGATTTATGGTAAAACAATACATACAGATAAATGAACCACAGCATACCTCATGTTCTAGGAACAAGGCCTTCAGCTGGCCTTTTGACCAGTAATCCAGTGCATACGCAAGAAGCTTCATTGACAAAGTATTCACACGTAAAAAATTGCCAACAAACACAACTCTGTTTATTTTCTAAAAAGAAGAGAAAAACAGCAAAGGATTAAGTCTTCTCACTGTTTAACACAGCTTTGAAAAATTAAGCTATGAAAGAACAGACTGTCTGGAGCAAGGGGCAGGAGGGTGGTGGTGGGGGACCCAAACAAAACACAAACCCCAAACAACCCACAATTAAAACATGGTTCCAAAATTTAAAACGCAGCATACTTGGGGAAAAGGAAAAACCGTGCAACCCTCAGGAATTAAAGGACTTAATTTACAGAGAAGTAGCATTTGTGTTTCAAATTAAGTGAGCATTTTCAGTAATTAAGCCAAAGAAACAGCCCAGCTAAAAGTGAAATTAAATGAAAAATACTTCTATTTGGTAGAGAAGACTCAATGCCTTCATAGCCCTGTACAATGCTGCTTGATCCATATGCAACAAGGCAGCACTGTAAAGAAGCCGAAGACAGTAAGACATAACAGATGTTCCTTTCATCTTCAGACCTCAATATACCTCAGCATAACATTAGACTAAGACTTAAATACTAGAAGCGAGCTGTGAATTTTAATCAAGTCAAATGTAAAAAAAGAGAAAAGCATTTAATTTTCCTCATTCACTGAAACAAATCCAACATTAAGCACTGGTTTAATGATATGAGAGCAAGAACCAAAGAAAATTTAATTGTGTTAGTGCTTAACATAGTGCTTAAATAAGCGCTTAATTATGTTAGATGAATACTCGTATCCAAGTTGTTACAAAAACTAGTATTACAATTCAACCTGTAGTCAAATGACTATAACATGCAACTGTTTTTCACCATCTTGATTAGTTCACAGTGAAGACAAAAGTAAACACACTGTTAAGGCACCCAAACATAATTCTGCTGTATACCAGGAAGCTGAAATAATTAAATCCATTTTATCTTTATACATCAGTTCAAGATATTCGTTTGTGTGTCCCATTAACTATTTCTTATGATTTGTAGTTCTGTGATGTAGTTGGAATTAGACCAGAAGAAACTTGGAATGAAGCTAATTTGTGCAGTTTACGAGTTCTGATTTGTACTCATTTACCCCCACCCTTAAATATAATGCTTCCCAGATCCCCCCCTCTAGACTCTCCATTCTGCTACGTGCCTTCTTCGCTTTCTTCAGGATCTTAAACTCTGCTATTTCAAGGCTGTCAAGGAAATCCCTGACCAGTTCTTCAACCGTGAACAGCTGGTCCAGCACCATGCTTGCCTAGCTACCCTGTCTAGCACTTGTGTCAGAAAATTGTCCCCAGCACACTGAGAAGTACGGATTGCTTGTGATCTGCCACGTTACCCTTCCCATAGAGGTTGGGATAGTCCCTCACGAGAGCCAGGACTTCCAGGTCCTCTTGTATCCCACGCTGCATGTGTTTGTGTACAGAGACTTAAGGTGGGCCCACAATCATCCTGTTTTCGCAAGGGGACTCAACTCCTTTCATCACAACATCCTGTGCTCCCCTGCTCCCTCACTTACCTGCAGGCTTCAGGCCCCATTCCCTAACAAAGCTAGTTTGAAGCCCTCCTCATCAGGTTACCCTCCCCATTGGCAAAGATATCCTTGTCCCACTTCTCCAAAGACAGTCAAAATATTCTGAAACAATTCCTAGTTTTTCTAGAACCAATTTTTGACGATGAGGGTGGTGAAACACTGGAACAGGTTGCCCAGAGAGGTGGTAGATGCCCCGTGCTTGGAAACATTCAAGGCCAGGTTGGACGGGGCTCTGAGCAACCTGATCTGGTTGAAGATGTCCCTGCTCATTGCAGGGGGGTTGGACCAGATGGCCTTTAAAGGTACCTTCCATCCCAAAGCATTCCATGATTCTAGTTCTTTAATACTACATTAATTTCTTAATTTCATTTGAGAACGTACTAAAAGGTTTAAAATGATACACCATTTTATCCTTTCCTTCTCAGAAGTTTTTACCTCGTTTACTGCACACATCCGGGCAATAGACCCAATGTTATTGGTGATGGTGACCAATATGGCTCTTGCAAGATCTTCTTTACTAACAGACTCTCTCTTCTCTTTGTAGATCATATTCCCAAAACTAGAACAGGAAAAATTTCCATTAAGTACAAAGTGATTCATGTGCATTTGAAGTAATTTCAGAGTGCAATTTTTATGCTATTACAGAACTTAAGTATCATGTTTGTTCTTAAGGAGTTCCCTTTTAAAGTCTGTATTACATACAGCAATTTGACAACTGACACTAAAACAGGTGTATTTATTCCTTCACAGGAAACAGTCAATCTTGTTACAATAATGACCCCCAACAAAATACTTTTGTTTAGATTGTTGACTTCCATGAAGAAGCAGCTACAGCAAAATGTAGTCTTACTCTTAGGCAAGACTACTCTGCACATCTAGTCACCGTAAATTAAGTCAATGCCTAAGTGCGACTGGTGAATCCTGCAACTCCTCATGCTTGCTTCCTCACTCATAGCATCTAGCCAATCCTCTATTCTTAGAAGTAAACCAGAGATGAGTTGAATGGCTTTATGATGGAACACAATCTTCAAACAGAAAATAAACAGCTGACAGGCTGCAGTTCAGGTTGTGAATGAACAGTTCTAGATTAGAAGGGCACTTCCATTACTATACAGAGTAGATAATTTCTTACAAATTATAAAAAAGAAAAAACAAGACAAGAATCCATAGCTATGCATATTTTACCACTAAGGACTCTGTGCCGTACCTAAGTTAGTTCAGAGAGCCAGAATCCTGATTATTCTAAAACTCAAATAGTCATTAAAGATCCTAAGGGTCTTAAAGTAAATGAGAACAGAAGGTACCTACATACAGAACATGTTAAGATGTATTGACTAAAAGTGTAAAGTTTACACATATTAAAACCTCTCAGCATATGCTCTCTCAAGAGGCTTGGCCTCAGCTGGCTGGAGAGGGAGCAGAATTAAGTTACTGTGAATTAAGACCTCTTACTACTGAATAAGAGCAAAGATACAACGAACTCTTATGTACATATTGGTTTCCCTCCCAAAGTTTATTCTTCTTACATTTCTTAAGGGTAGAGAAGCTGTAACATCACCAATAATCTTCCCCAATGGAAATAAAACTAGCAGCTATGACAAATATCCTCTGTCATTGGCAGTAAAATACATTCATTCTCATGGTGCAAACTGCTTATGTTCAACAGCCTTCCTAAGCGAGAAAAGTAGTTAAAACATTATGCCAGGTGCCTGTACTGACAACCATGTATCAAAAAAAGCAGACTCTTTCAAAAAAAAAAAAAAAAAAAATGAAGAGATACTACTGTAAGAGCAACACAAATGCCGTCTTCCACTCACCTTCCCTCTGGACAACGGCCTACTAAAAGATTCTAGGAAGTCAAAAAGTAATCGGCTTTGTTTTTCCTCGGCGCTTTGTTCTTTCCACTCCTGTGATCACCTCACGTTCTCTCTGGCTCATGTAAATCTGCATATGACATACCACGTGAGGTTTCTTCAATACCTAGCTAGCAGGCACTTGCAGTTGCATGTGGCTTTAAATCCTCAGGAAAACTGAGTATATATACTTTTGGGATAAAAACATAACTTGACTACAATAAAAGTTTGCAAAAAGCAGTTTTCTCTGTATTAACAGATTAAGTCTTGTTTGTGAAGCCCCCAAACCAGCAAAAGAACCAACAAAAAGATCTCTTGCTTACCTGGATGCTACAGCCCATCCTGGCAAGCCAAATCTTTCATAGTCTCCTCCATAAATATCTCGAACCAGCTTGTCAGCATGTGTGCTGTCTCCTTTGGATGCCATTTCCAGAGCTTCTTCAAAACTTTCACAGCCCGTCAACAAACTGCATAAACCAAGAAAGGTCCCTCCACCTAGACTAAGAAGAAAGAAAACTAGTTGATTTTAAATAGTATTTCCTCACATCAAAGATTCTCATGTCTGACTAACAAAATAAACAAACAAAGCCCTCCAACTTAAGATACCAAGCTGTCTGCTTTTCTTGGTCAAGGTTCACTACACAAACAATCAATTGTGAATCAATTTAACATTTATCTAAGTCACTTACAAGAAGCTAACCATACAGTAAGAGCTAACAAATAGTTATAAACTCTCAAAAGGTAAGCTGGAAGACTTAATCAGAGCCTAACTCCCTAAATACCCACATCATGCCACTGACTCTGATCCTTGATCATTTACTGTAAAACATGTGTGGACATATTTATTCTTATGGAGCAAGAGAACCACAGGTTCACCAGACACATTATCAAAACTTAAGACAAAACCTATAAAACTCTCACTGTGGAGCACTTCCAGCACTCATCCATTGATAAATAAGATATTAGCTGAATCTCCTCAATAACAGAACTATGGGAATGGGCTTCAATGAATGCAGCAGTAAATTAAAGATAAAATACTTTTCCATACTACAGAGCGAGGGAAGGAATAGGTGGGGGGAGTCAGGGAGAGGAACCACTTTGAAAGCAGAAGGCTCATTGTTCCATAGAGTTAACAACCCCAACTTAGGTTTTTAAGTTACCTTGTTCCAGTTACTCTTTTATAGTTGTCTTTGGAATGGACTGACAAAATACTGACTCCTGAACCAATGTTAACAACCAGCAATGGGTATGGATCGTCCAGGTTAAAAGGCATCTTTTGGCATCTCTCAGGATCTGAGGCATTTTCAAAATAATAGCACTCTGCCTGGCCATTGAAGCTGACAGAGTCTATGTACAATAAGCCTTTGACAAGGCAGTCAAGCTCATCCAGTTTGTGCAGCTGGAGGTTTCCAATCTGTGTTAAAAAAAGAAAAAAGGCAGTGTCAACATGTTCTAACATTGCTTAAACATGCTACAAATTTATGAGTATATTTGTACTGCCTAACTTTAAGAAGCTATCTCAGCTGACTAATTCAGGAACTTCGATCCCACTATAAAGCCAGCAAAGAATTCAGAGGTAAATTCTGAATACATCAATTAGAAAATTACTCTGACTATAAATCCAGATCTCAGACTTGAATCAAGAACAGACAGGCAGTATAAATATCTGCTTTGGTAATCCCAAAGATAACTTTTGAGATACTCAGACATTAATCCATTGAAAAATTAGCAACATTTTTCATCAATCTTAATCAAAAAAAGGTCATCAAATACCCTAGAGGCCCCATCGAGTGTCATCTTGGTGAAACTCACACATCTGCACATCTTTCCAAGGTTTGTAGGCTTCCTCCCCCATCTTAGAAGTCAAACAGTCATTTCTAAGATGTCAGCAGATAAAAACCTAAGATAAAAACTTCAATGGCATCATACACTATCCTTGCAACTTTATTAACACTCCAAGGATCATAAGAAAACCACAGGTCAGAAATTCTACAGGACTTTAGGCTCGTTACAGGTCTTCCTCAGTTTTGCACGTGACATTTAAGGTGCCGTTCTCTCATAAAGCAGAAAGACAATTTAACAGGTGCTGTGGATTCCACGAAGGCTGTAATTTCACACCATACTTAATCCTGTTTAACTCTGGGCTTTCACAAAAAGTTATCATGCTCTCTCCCTTACCGCAGCAGGGAGTTCCAACAGTTAGAGAGTTCAATTAGGCAGCTAATCCGAGAAAACACACCCATAAGGTCTATCTCTGAATCAGGCAAGCTCACATTTAGAAAGCAGCCTGCAGTTAGATTACGGAGTTGCACAATCAGACCGGATTGCACACTGCTGACTGACAGCAGTACCAGACCACAGCCCTGCCGGTCCCCTCCTCTTCCCCCAGCTCCCTTCAGCTTTTCTTGCCATGGCACAACTGTGAAGCTTCACTGTTGAGCAAATCAGGGAACTGTTCCAACATAAATAATTTCTGTGGGGTTTTAGATAATGAATTACTTCTGCTGTACAAATTGCGACCCTACCCCACAAACAGTTGCACCAGCTCAACGCAAGACTGGCACAGGAACGGAAATACAAGCAGATTTTTGAAACCAAACATTTTGTGCTACTGAAAGTTGCCTTGTCTTTAGAAGCACGAGAGGTCTGCAGCCACTTTAAAACTAGGACATGTGCACACTGGATACTGTGATACAACTGTCAGTTAGTAACAACTATCTTCGGATAGACACCGCATCTAAACAAATGATCAGTTCTGATCATCAAGGGAAGAGTCAAAATACCTCAGGAAAATCCCAAACCGCTCGGCAGTTGAAAAAAAGACTGTCTGAGATATGCATTTTGTCACAGATCTCTAAACAATGCACTGGACTAAATTAATGAGGATAAGCCCACCCACAAACATTGAAAACCTACCATCAGAGACTGCTTAGGAAAGAAAATCCAAAGTGACTCAAGCACCTCAGCAGTTTAAGCACATTTCCCATCAGAGAAAACACAGATTAGAAAACGGTTAACTTCCACAAAGGTGCCCTGCATTTCACTGCATTAATGGAAGTTTCTAATTAGCTGTTAGCATTAGATCTTCATGTTTATTATGATGATGTTGGAAAGCATATTTCTAGATTCTCATACTTAAGACTGAAAAACAAATGAATAATTAATAATCTTTGAGCATTCCACAGTTTTTCAAAATACTGCTTATTTTAACCCATCATCAGCAATGCTTTTGGCATCAGCTTCAGTACAAGGAAAGACAGGCTACCTACTGTGCGAAAGTCTTCTTCAAACTTGTAAGCGCCACCGCCGGTAGCACAGAGCACCGTATGTAGTGTTGAAAAGTTTTTATTTCTTCCCATTTGGATAAAAGTAGGCAAATCATGAGTTGGGAATCGAATAAAGTGCAAGTTTCCTCTTCGAGCAAAAATCGTTAAGTCTTTCAGCTCAAGGTGGACATCTCGAATGCCAGTGGATCCATAGGCTACATTGGAAGTCAGGTATTTGCGGATGCTCTTCAAGCTTTCAACTTCCTCCTGCTCCTCCTCTGCAGTGATATCAATAGGTTCAAAATATGCAAGTTTCACCAAAGTTCCCCCAATGTCCATGCCAAACCATGGAAAAGCTGTGGAGATACAAGAATTGACTGATTAGCTTTGTTAAAGAGAAAAAGCAATACATGTAACTTAAGGCTAAACCAACGTTACACTTTTCAACAAGACAGACATTAACAAAAATCCTCACAGGAACAAAGAATTAGTACTCATTTCCATTACATGATCTTAAATATCCCTTTGGCCGCAGGTAAAAATGGAAAAAATGAGCAACTCTATTTACACATTTAAATGCTGTCATGTGTGGTCAGAAAGCCCACCTAAGAACTCCCCAAACCATACTCTATCTTTCATACCAACCCATAAACAAAATTCAACCACCTTTTTTTTTTGTTTTGAGAACAAAGATTAAAAGAACCTTCACTTCCAAAATAATAGTTTTGACATAGTTTAGCACAAAGACTGCAATGCACACTCCTGAGAAAGCAGGTTACACATTATACCTGACAACAGCAGCAGGACAGGTATTCCTCCTCGAACAGCTATCTTCTGCTCACATAATATCTTTCGTTTGAGAGGGAAGCACTAATTTATTTGCATGTATTTTAAAAATTGGCACAGTTAAGATGCCCAATTTATGGAGCTGAAGAGAGCTGTTCATATACCCCTGGAAGTTACAAAGGGCTAACAAAAAGTACTATTAAGAAGTACAGGCAAGATAGAAAATTCATATTACTGAATCTAGGTTCCAATTCTTCTTTTTCTGTATCTTGGATAGAAAGGGGGGATTTCTGTACTACAAAACAACAATACTAAAACACAAGTATTTTGTCTTTGTCACTTCTGTGGGATGACTGCAGTTCCTAACAGGGGTTCTACGGCTTATGTCACCTAGGACCATGATTTGAATATGCCTGTTATCAACAACTCTTCCTAACTGTGTGTGATAAAACAGATACTCAGCAACCCTACAGCAAAGGCATCATCTTCATCGGAGAGTTTCCCGACTGTCATCTCCCAGAAACAGTGTTTATACTGTAATTTGTAAGTTTAAGAAAGATCCTGAACATCCAGCTGGGAAGCTCGTATTTTTATTTCCTAACTGACACCATCACTTGCTGGATTGTTTGTTTTAGGTTTTTGTTTGGTTTGTTTGTTGGTTTTTTAATATTCTGTAGAGTTCCAATTTATTTCTTCAGATGCAATTCATATATTATAGAAGTATGAAACTCAGGAACAAAACTGAAAAGATGTTAACATGTTCATCATGAGTAAGATGTAATTAGGTTGGATTTCCATAACCAGTGGGGATCTATCCTTGAGAAGAATGGCCTACCAAAATATTTTCATGTATTTAGTCAAGGCTGGCTGCATGCCAGTTCATTTATAACATGAATGAAAAAGTTAAAGAGAAAAGAAACTTAAAAGTTGCCTCAACTTTCAGGAATGGATGTCCAGAGAATATTGTCAGATCTTAACAAAAAAGATTGAGTCAGTAACCTTACTCATCTTGAAAAACAAAATTTAACTACAGGGATAAATTCTGTGAGTAAAACCTAACTCCAAGTGGGAATAAAGAAGTTCTATAAACCTGATATCTGTTCTATAAAGCTGAGATCTAAGCATAAGACTGAAGTCATATGAATTGACTTTACAACTGCATACCCACTTCTTTGCACTGTGACTCCAGGCATAAGAAAATTTGTCATCTTCCTGTTTGACCACAATTAACTGATGCTTTATTAAGCGATCTCACTAAGTTTCAGTCTCGTGTTGTAAACAATGTCACAAGAACCAAAACCGAGGAAGGGAAGTTGATTCACCCAGCAGACCAGAAAGTGTCTGCAGGAGTCAATCCAACCCATTCAGAATTTAAATAGCACACAGCAAGCCAAGTACTACCAAAAATACTTGGGATTCTTCCTGCTCAGTGGGCCCACTGAGTAACTCGGATCCAGCCTGCCACAACAAGAAAGCGAGGGAAACAGCTGAAAGTTCAAGCGATGAGCTTAAGGAAGATTTGGCGCCAGTCATGCCTGTTTGTCAGAAGATCCACCACATCCCATGTTAAATGATGCAAAAAGCTTTTGCAAATATAGCATTAGTCACATCTCTCAAAATCTTAAGGTTTATGACTCCTGTATATCAAGTAAAAAACAAGAACAGTTGAACTGTAAGGAAGTTTATTCCATAATTCAAATAAAAGCATGTTTTATGCTGAAAAAAAGGGATCATGCTGTACAATATCAGTTTGCTGGGTTAACTGAATGATCTTAACAGCAATTTAAGGGTTTTGAGACTGAAGAAATAGGTCAGTTTCCACCTCTGCAGCAAACGCCAAGGAGTTTCACATTTTTCTATTGAAAATTTGTCAAGATTTGGCTGGTAAGTACATTGCTCAAGTTTCATTTGCAAGGTGGAGGAGTTCTGACAAGCAACTGGGCCCACGTACTGTTAACTTACTCCTTATACCAGCAACCCAGAAGAAGATATTACACAAGGATTCTTGTGTATGTAAGCCACTCGTGACTGATTTATATACAGCCCTAGCCAGGAAAATTAAAGCCATTTTGTTTTCCAAACACAGAAGGGGATACACATACATGGCAAGTGCGCAATCAGTTGAACTGTAGCTGCCATTTTGGGACTGCAAGGCTACAAGATTTATCCATGCTTGAGCTACCTTTAAATATTAGAAATACACTGATTCTACAGAGTTAGAACGTAGTCGTAGGTGGATGCAACGTGGAAGCCTTGTGAACTCTGCTCCTATTGCTGCAGCCTTCAAATCAGTTTGCTCTGGGTGGATCTTGGCTCAGGATCCATCCTATCTGGGTGAAGGGAGAATGCAGAAAACAGGAACCCATGTGAAAACACCAGTTCCGCTTCCAATTACTGAAAGGGTGATTTCATTTTTGGGGTTAAAACAAGGCCACAGAGAGATTCAGGATGAAGGACTACCCAGAAAATATACTATGGAGAGCACGCTCGAGTTTCCTACAAGACTCCCACTCCACAGGGCAGCCAGGCTAAACATGGCCATGGCTCTGCTTTAAGTCATGCCATACACACAAGGAACCTGTGCGTTACTTTACGCCACATATGAGCACTCTGCTTATGGTGATGTTGCTGCTCTTTGAGGCACATTCGAAGCACAAGAGTTTTCCCTCTTACATACGGTATCTGCAGCATATCTACCAGCATCTGTAGCTAGTATAGTCTCTCAAATCCATGAAAAATTTAATTCTGAGGCAGTCTTGTATTTGAAAGCTGTCTTAGAACAAGACAAAAATAGCACGGCACGTACCTTGGGCTGAGCATGTATAAATGATTCCATAAAAAGTATTTTTGTACTCATATCTGTGGGTCATGCTTCTTTGAGTGAGAGATTTAGGAGCAGAATGATGGCAGCACAATCTTTTGAAAAAAATATCCCCAGACACCAGCTTGATCCTTATGGCAGTCACAGTTAAAGAAACATGCCTGGATGAGACCAATACCAATTGCACAACCTTCGTTCCAAGCTTATAGCTCTGCAGATACCAGGTTTGAAGACTTAATGCAACTATAACCATCATTGCGCAGCTTCAATTCATAAGGAGAGTCAGTCCACCTGCATTAAAACTGGGCCTCTCCTGCAGCTCTATGGGGATTTGGTCATTAAAACATTTTTCTTGGCTCCTCCTCTTTATAACCGTTCTTATTCCCAGGAAGACTCTACAAAAAGTGATATACGGCTCAGAAGTATTCCTTGCTGGGAATTTAACTGCTATTCACAGAACAAACCCAGCGCTCAGTCTTTTCAAAGTTCAGCTCCTCTCTGCAGAGGTCAGCTGCAATTTGAAAAAAGAAAAGCAGGAATCGAGCTTTTTACTCAACAAGCTCAATTGCCTTAAAACTGCTTCAAAAACATGCATTCTGCTTTTAGGAAGTCAAGCCAGGCTCTATTTAAGAATACATAAAATACGTATTTTTGCTACCCGAGAAGAGACAAATATGCAAAGTAGAACACAAACTGGGAAGCCAAAGCCCATATGGTTTAATGTGATACTTCACACCAAATTGAACTGTCTCCAACAGGACAGCAAGAGGAGTATCGCGATATCCAACCTCCTTCATTCCAAATCCAGATTTTCTTTCACTCCCTGGCTCTGCCAGGAGCCACTGTGGTCCCTGCATAGACAGAGCAACTAGGAACCTTCGCTATAAAGCACGGGATTGTTCCACACGTGCTGTGAAGATAGCTTTGAGAGGCAACCTGCTCAGAGTTAAAAAAAATAATGATGTTTAAGAGGACTCCCTAGAACTACTTCCTGCAATGCAGAAAAGTACTTCCCGCACGGGACGATTGCGGATACAAGGTGCTGCGGGGTCAAGTAATGATGTAGCAGTTCTGCCTAGTAAGAAAACCCAGGCTGATGGCTCTCGGCTGTTTTTTTAAGTTATTCTTTAGAGCTACACAGGGAGGCCTCCTTCTCTTGTGTTTGCGCTTAAGTTCTTCGCGTACATAGTTTCTCACACCAAACTTAAGGTTACTTATATCTTATCACACAAGGTCTTTATACGCCAAAAGGAAATAATTACAGTAAAAACTCTTTCTCGTGCCGATACGAGCACAAAGGTTGAAGTGTTCTCCTGTTCTATGGGTTCTGCTTCAGCAGAGCAGAGGGCTTTCGCAGTTCTCCACCCAGACTGCATTCTACCCTTTTGACTTTGTACGCCTGTTTTGGACCCAAAGCTGCAGGAAGCACACGCTCAGAGACTTAATTACTTCCCCCTTGTTCAGTCAACCATAAGATTCTTCAGTTTAACACTTTATTTGTATTTAGCTTTTAAAGACCGAGAAACAGATTACTGGCAAGCTCCTTCCTATGAATGTAATGACACGTTTGAAACACAAACACCTTTAAAATACTTCCTTCTCACTGTAAGATAAAATAACAGTCTGGGTCAACCCTGCATTAAATTTACAAGAACTAACCTTCGAAGAAGAGTAGCTACCTCCTAATTCAAACAGGGATCTTTGCACCATTAAAAAAAATTCACAGCTGTCAGTGACAGCA